TGAAATGTCTTTCATTTACTGGAGCAATAAAGAAGTTGCTCAATCACACTATCAAAATGAAAACAAGAGGAAAGAACAGTCAACATTAAGTTGACTAACCCAAAAAAGGAACATGTTTCCTGGGATGAGAATGTGTTGAAGGCGATACAGCATGTCCTGACTCCCCTGTGCAGTCAGGGTTGTATCATGGGTTATGGGTAAGTTATCTATTTTGTACGTTAGGCCAAAGTGTGCTCCTTCAACTAACTGTGAAAGCATTCTTGAAAGCCCATGAAAGTTTATTATTCTAATTACCAACACAAGAGGTTGATAAATGAATTATGAGGTGAGGTATTATTGTCATTAAATAGATCTCACTCAATTATTTACCCCTGGGTCTGGGGTTACAGCTCAGAGAGCTGTGCATATTATACCAGGGCTTATTTGAGCTCTGAGACCTGGAGACCAGATTACAGTCTTGGCAGGCGGCTTTCATTGAATGAAATTCAAGGGGATGACACACATTTTTCAGTCAGACATGTGGATAGTTTGAGGCCAATAGATACTCACAGTTTACCCACAAAAGTCTACTTCATTTAGCCATGTAGAAAAATCCTTTTAAGTTATCCAGACAAATATAAATGGGTAGAAAAATGAATTAACTACAAGAAAAATAATAAGAAATGTTCTTGCTTTTTAGATGTTAAAGATGTTGCTCTTTCTTTTCTTGCATTGTGAAATCTGTCATGGGCATTTTATTGTGTTAAATATCAGTCATTGTTTATCTCTATGGTCGATAGTTTCTTTTGTATCTTCTTTTTTAAAGATTCTATTTATTTGTTTTTAGAGAGGAAAGTGTGGGAAGAAAGAGAGGAAGAGAAACATCAATGTGTGGTTGCCTCTCACATGCCCCCTACTGGGGACCTGGCCTGCAACCCAGGCATGTGCCCTGACTGGGAATTGAACCTTAGGTTCACAGGCTGGCACTCAATCCACTGAGCCATATCAGCCAGAGGTCTTTTTATATCTTTTTTTCTAAGAGCACATTGGAAGATGTCATCTGGTTAAGAAATCTGTTATCATAGAGGATGGAATTGGGTGATGCTGGTTTTCTCCATCCTGACATCACTCCAGCTCACTGCAAAGGTCAGCCCTGAAAATGGTGTTAAGGCATGTTCTCTCACTGAGTCATTAACCACATCCAGTCCAAGTCCCTTCCAGTTCTGCAAGCTGTGAAAGTGCGTCCTTATGTCCCAAGAGCTTCAGGTTAGAGGAATTGAGAATCTGTTCTTGCTAAACAGTTATTCTCTACCCACCCCTTTGGCTGCTGACTTTGTTTTAAAGTCATTCCCTAGATTTCTGATGAATTGAGTCTAGTAGTTATTTTGGCCACGGTGGGCAGTGGGAAGCAGGAGGAGGTACAATGGCTGTTCAGGGATCCCTTTTGTGTTAAATTGGGGGGAGATCTCTTGGGCAATGAAGGAGGGATTAGGGCAGTAGGAAAGAGAAGCAATTCACTCCTCAGATTATATGGAATAAAGTCCAAACTTTTGCACAGGTATATTGAGGGTATTGTGGGGCAGTCATTACAAAAAATGAAACTATGCCTCACATCAGGACAACTTGGCAATTGGAGACAAACATCAAACTCTTATTTAGATTATTCAAAGGAAAATATATTTTAATAAATGACAAACACCTATCACTGCCATGTAAGTTTTTATATTGTTAAATTAATTTATAATTAATCACCATGAATGGTGATTTCAACTTGGTTATAACTCTGACTTTATTCTCTCTCTTAGATTATGATAGTTGTCCCTGTATCATAATCAACTCACAAAATTAATGATCTTGTCAGAAATAGAGTAGAATAGTTATTTGTGTATACTTCTGACTGCTTAAGGCAGTTCTGTTTTCTAATTGGCTACTCATGTAGTGATATAACTCTAATAGGCCAACTGTGTACCTTTTAAATTATCTACTAAGTATCCAGAGTAGTGAATACACCTACAAAGTAGGCATTTTTACATTTGAAAAACAAATTTTACTACTAAGTAGAATTTTTGATTTTCTATTTATATGTGTTTAACAGAGAATGATGTCACAATGCCTATGTATAATTGATTTTATGAATTTCATAATTCTTAATGCCAAGTAATTGAATTATAGACAGTTCTGCTGTATAATGTGGCATGTGTGTTCCTAAAAATCACTACAATATGCAAACTTAGGTGATATAAACCATAGGATTTATAGGAAAAATGAGAATAAGGCACAATACTCAAAATATCATTGGTGACAAAAATAGATGTAAAATGACAGCAAAATTTTGCACATGCTAAATGTTATGAAATACATAAATGCTACAATAAACATGGCAATTTACTTTGAAAAAGACCTACAGTTTGCTGTGGAAGTACTTTAGCAGGGTTGTAATTTGTGTTACTGTAAAGCATGGAAGAAGGGTCCTTGTAACACCATCTGTGCAAGGGTGAGGTTTTTCTCACTTAGGTGGTACAGTCAGGAAACTGGTCAGATGAAGTGTGTGCAAATGTGTATTCTTACCCTGCTAGATTTAGCTGGAGGCAGTTTTTGCCATTCAGCTGGTATGTTTTGAAGATAAAATCACACACAAGCAAATAAAATTTTTTATTATGCTCAAATTGTTCTATAATCTATCCATCATACTAGAACAAATTCATAGTTTCTAAACAAGCGTTACTGTAGTATTAACTGTGTACTAATCCCTTCAACACTTTCACATCTATGATCTCACTTTATTCTTGCTACCATCCTGGCAAACAGAAAAGGAAACAATTGCCTGATTTTTGTCAGTTTGTTGGAGAATACTGACCAGTTAAAGGCCATATGGTAAGGGCCTGTGTCAGAAGGTGCTCGGGTCTCTGTGTTTTGGGTACTGTTCTTTTTTGGGGGAGGCAGGACACTTGTGAATGTGTACACAGAGAACATCAAAAATGTGGTCAGCGACACAGACAGATCTCAGAGGCTGAGTTAGAATCATCTGATTTTCAGTTTAGATGAGTTCTTCATTTTGTCAATGTCTGCTAGGTGCCACACTCCTGTCTTGCCATCTCTATAATACATACTTAATTCCTGAATCTGATGTGTTTTCTTCATTGCATGAATCTAAAACCCAGCCATTAGAACTCAGTTTATTCTTTTAGATGGGGCTATATTAAATATTTAGAATGTGTAGACTATTTTAGATACCATTTTTCAATTAATCTTCGCAGCCCAGAGGTCAAGTCAAATGTCAGGGCATTCTAGTAACTTTTTAGAATTATTTAGATTATTCAAAGGAAAATTATACTTTTATAATTTTCCTGAGCATCTTCTGACACAGGCTCTTTTATTTACCATGTGGCCTTTAACTGGTCAGTATTCTCCAACAAACAGACAAAAATCAGGCAATTGTTTCCTTTTCTGTTTGCCAGGATGGTGGCAAGAATAAAGTGAGATCATAGATGTGAAAGTGTTGAAGGGATTAATACACAGTTAATTCGACAAGGCCAGTCTAGTAACTTTTTCTGTTTCCAGGAAGTTCCCCTATTCAGTTCCTGCAAAATTAATGAGGAAGAGTATAATCCCAAATGCTAGAATGCCTTTGTCTTCAAGCATCCATTGATGTGGAAAATGCAATTATTATATACTCCCTTGTCTATATCTACCCTGAGGTATTCCACTCAGCTCTTCCTCCAGAAGGTTTAGGTTTATTAAGCACCTCCTATGGTCAAAGTACAGCCAATACTGTGGGACACACAGAAAGACAAGATGTTGTTCCTGCCATCCAGGAACTGATTTGGTGGCGGCAGGTTGGGGTGGGTGTTGTTCTGACTGATGACTGCAGAGAATCTCCTCATTGTGCTGGTGTGTTAAATGGCAGAATATGGGTGAGAATACACGTATAGGTGAATAGTAAGGCATCACTGTCTAGTTGTTGGCTAAATCAGCAGATGTGTGCTGTTTTGATCACTGGGTGTTGTAAAGTCGTGAGTGTAGCACTAAAGAACACTTTACAATAAAAATCCTTTACCAACTTTTTATTACTTTCAAGATTTATTTTAATTGATACATTTTTTATCATCATATCTTGAATGGTCTTATCTGTAAAACTGCACATTCCAAGGGCCATTCAGCTGACAGCAGTGTGGCACCTGCATGATGACAGTCCAGATCTGAGTGACCTCTCAGGTTCTCCACGGCCCTGAAATGTCAATACGAGTCTGGTCTGTCTCTACTTTATAAAGGTTTTCCACACACAAAACAAACAACAACCAAATTGACAGACTTACAAATAGTGTAGCATGTTCCTTTTATATATGTTCACATTATCCATTTTGATAAATTAATGCTTTGCACACACAGACACTTATATAAATACTGTAAATGTATACATTTTTGGAAATAAAGTTTGAATCTGAAGCCCTTTCTAAATGCAAGGCCAAAGAGATTTTTTTTCCTTTTTCTCTTCCCTCAACCTCCTTTGCTTTACACAGTATGATTTCCCTGTTTTAAGTCATAATTGCTTTTACAAGATTAAATACCAGGTCAGTAGTGTGTTGTACATCAGCTCATCCTAAGCTCTTTGCCCTATTTAAAAAAAATAATGATTCTTAAAAAATAAGGATATAAAGTATTTTAAAATAAACATTCTAGCTGGTAAAATCTGAAGTACACGTCATATTCAATTTCATAAGTGGGAGAAATGAGAAGAGCTGGGGTTCTCTGTTTTGACACGTAGCATAAATGTCCTGCTTTTCAATGACTTCAGTTGATAAGTAAAGCAAGACCAAAACATCTTATTCTTCATGGTCAATATTAAAAGACTTAAACATCCATTACCATTCTCTACGTTATGAAATATAGCTTACATTCACTTGTTAACAGTCTAGGAGAAATAAGACTGCAAAATTAATAAAATTAAAGGTTCACTACCTCTATATTCTATTAATCTCTAGTCATCCCACTTACCCCTTATTTGTTTTCTTCTTTTTTAGGGAAGCAAAAAAATTTGTGAATGAAAATGAAGGAGCTCTTGGGAAAGGAAAAGGAAAACGGTGGTTTGCGTTTAAGATGATGATGGCCAAGGTAAATATTTTCATAACTCAGTTTGGTTGATGCCATATATTTTCAATGGAGGCCGCATTGATTGCTAAAGAGGAGAAAATTGGTTATGTTCCTAGAAAGAGAAAAAAAACTTACACTTTACATATATAAAGTATATAGGAGGTCTGTCCAGAAAAAGTTCGGCCATTGTTACTACAATGAGAATGGTTTGCATGACATCAATGTAACCTGGCAGCCAAGGAGAGTGGACAAGAACGTGCGTCTGTGAATGTGGTGACTAAACAGTGGTGGCTGTGGAGTGAGCATGTGTACTGAGTGGCCTCACATTCAAATTGAATAAGTAGAGCAATGAATCTGCATCAAATTTTGCATTAAGCTTGAACATTCATCTGCAGAAACTAGTCAGATAATTCAGAAGGCTGCAGCTATAGGCAGCTGGTGATTGGCAGCTTTACCATGAGAGAATATCCACTCAGGCATCACATCTTGTGCACAGTTTTTGGGTGAGGCATCAAATCCCCCCAGCTGACTCAGTCCTACTGCAGCCCAGATTTGGTACCCTGTGACTTCTGGCTTTTCCCAAAACTAAAATCACCTTTGAAAGGGAAGAGACTTCAGACTGTCAATGAGATTCAGGAAAATACAACAGGGCAGATGGCGATAGGAACTGTGTGAGGTCTCAGGGTGCCTACTTCAAATGGGACTTGAGGTGTCATTGTCCTTTGTATAATGTTTTTTGTACTTTGTATCTTCTTAAGTAAATGTCTCTATTTTCATATTACAAGGATACCTTCTGGGCAGACCTTATATACATACATAGTACATATGCAAGTATATCTACAGCATTAAAAGTTGGATTGCGAGGGCATTATTCAGAAGGAAAAAAGCCCCAAAAGGCTCCTTAGGGGAGTTAAAATGAAAAATAAGTTCAGAAACACTGATTTATGACAAAAGACTCTTGTGATTTTATCACCTTCAAATGTAAAAGACTGTGCTCCTTTCATTTTTATTCCCTGGTAGATAAGTATTCTGGGTCAAAATTTCTTTCTCAAAATTCCAAATAACAGAATCATATATGTAGCTCTTCTCTACCAGGAGCATAAATTGGATAGAAAATAAGAAAAATGCAAATAATATACCAATAATATATGAATTAAAAAAAATAGAAAATAAACTAACACTTATTTAGTATTTACTATATGTATATGCCTAGCACTTAAGTCTATAAAGTTATCATATTTAATTATTACAGCAAGGTGGATACATGGTATTATTATTCTCTCCTTACAAATATTATGCCACCTGTACACTAAATGTATTCCTATAAAGATGGAGTTTTATAAATAAAGTTTATATCTCTTAACTATAAAATATATTATATTTTTATTATCTATATCATAGGTTACTGTTGTTCTTTTTACAGTTTAAATAAATGAAATCCTATAGTATTTATGCTTTTGTTTCTGGCTTTTTTGGTGTAATATTATATTATGAGATATATTCATATTGTAGGACTTATAGTATGTTTTTATTGATGTGTTGCATTCCATGTATGAGGATACACAATTCGTTTATCCACTCTACTCTGAATGGACATTAGGGATGTTTCTAGTTTAGGTAATCTTTTGAACTTCAGACTGTCTCACATTGTTTTTCAGCTTTATGTGCCAATGTAGCTCACATATTATCCCAGCATAATGTACACACATGCAAAGTTATCTGCCTCATTCCCACTCTTCTGTCCTCTTGACCATGAACAGCCCAACACTGTGGCATAGAATAGAAGTTTCTTTATAAAAACAAATTTTATTCTTTTTCTTCTTTTCTTTTCTATGATACCGTATGCCTTTCCATTTAGCTGACTTCTCTACTACTGAAATGAAAAGTATCCCATGTTTTAGCACCTACCATACTGGATTGAAATTTCCTGTTTATGTACATTATATTCAAGTAGACAGGAAACATGTCTTATTTAGACTTCATTAATTTCTTTGTGTGATATTTTTTGATTAGTCAACAACATTTGTTGATCACTTATTAGGTGCAAATTCAGTCCCTGCTCTATTGTGATGCACAGAACAAACAGACTTTTTTAACTATAATTTTTATAAAACAAAGATCCATAAAAATTTTTGAATTAAATCGGTCTGGAGGAGAGTGGGGAACAGGAGGGCAGATACTGTTTTCCCTTTGTATGCACAGCAACATGTGATGGCAGAGGGATCTTCCCAAGCTCAAAGTTTTGTAATATTTTGAGATATTTTGTGATGAACTTCTTAAAAAACAAGAGGTTGGATTTTACCAATATTCTTGGCTTCCTTTTCAGAAATGGGCAAAATTTCTCAAAGACTTTGAGATCTTCAAAGCTGCTTGTGTCCCATGGGAGAATAAAATCAAGGCTATTGAAAGTAAGTGCTCAATAGATCTCATTAGATGGGAAGGTGGTCCTAGATGATAAATTTCTCATAAGTTTATCAGATGCCTTCTTTAGCAGGAGAGATTAAAAACAAGAAAACTAACAAACAAGAACTCAATTTTTTTATATCTTTTTGCTCACTGTGAAGACTTGTTAGCGCTTACCAGTCACCACTCTCCCTTCCTATATTAGATCAAAATATTCTCATTGTTGTCCCTCCTACACGGGGAAATCAGTATTGTGCACAATGACACTGAGTCATGTTGTTGGGAAGGCAGAACTTTTATTTTGGCAATGAATATGACATTGAAAATATATATACTCTCATGTTAGTAATCAAAATGAATGTCTAAAAAGAATGAATAAATCTTAAAGCTTCATTTTCAAATGTCTAAAGCTGAATAAACAATAATCATCTAGGAACTTGCTATTTGAATATCATATTGTATCTTCATTTTATACGATTTTCACGGTGTACAGAGAAGGCAAGACTATACACTCAATTAAGAGTCATTTAGAGCAGTGCTCTAGGCTTGGAAAAAGGCAAACATGAATTTTAAAGTATTGCAAATATAATAGTAAATCATTTTTAAAAACAAAGAATATAAAGAAAGGGATAGTATTTTTTAAAAAGCGACCTTGAGCACAATCGTGCCATGTTCTGGTTTCTCAATGTTTTGACTAGAATCTGACTTTCTTTCATGCCTTGGCTTTCCTGCTGGTTAAATGTGCATTGCATAATTAAAATGGAGCCTCCATAGGGAGCTAGCGCAGTTGGGGGATATTTCACTGATGTGATTGCTCATGCTTTAGGAGTGAGTATTCCTCAGTCCTCTGTCTCTCATTATCAAACAGCAATTAACTAAAACATATCAGCTCATTAATTGCACTTACTCCTACATATTTCTGTGCCATCCCTTTCTTGCTTTATTTTCCTTCTTCACACTTATAACTAAAATACTGTATTCTAATTGAATTTTGAATATTTTATATGTGTTCCTTTCTTCTAAAAGATGGGAAAGCAGAGATTCTGTTTTGTTCACTCTTATATCACCAGACCTAGAACATATTTGGCTTTAATAAGTATTTGTTGAGTCAAATGAAATATAGACAAATCCTACAAATATCTACCATTCTGAGAAACAAAAGGAATTTAGACACATCAAAAAAAAAAATCCAGACATCATGGAATCCTTAGGTCTTAACTGTGCAGCTGAAATATGTTACCTTGAGAAACACTGAGGAACAGAAGGCCATTTGGAGCATTAAGATTCTGATGCGATTTTGTTCTTGCTTTGCCATAGATTAGCTGTTGACTCTGACTGAGCCAGTCATTGAATCCATCTGGGCCACAGTCTATTTATTTCTGAAAATGACAGGGCTGACTCTTGATTAATTATGAGACTCTTGATTAATTATGAGATATATCCTAATAAGTTTATAATTAATGATAGTTAAAACTATACATTTGCAAATTACTTATGTTTAAGGTACACTAGAGCAGCTTCCAGCCTATCTAAATAATAACATCGTTTTCACTTCTGTTTAAGTAGCCTATCTTGAGTGGAATAGAAACAGATGAAGTCATTTTTATTTACAGAAATTGCACTAAAATATAAGTTACACCTATGACCACCATCTATCATGTGTATCAAAGTGGAAAAATCAAACTCAGTGCCACTCAATAATACTTTCAGTTATCTTTCCTTTTCCCCTCTTCCCCCAGAAAATTTGGAACAGTCAAACTGGACAATTCAAGCAAACGTGGATTATTTTCCCTTTGATGTATAATTTATTATTTGATTAGGTTCTATTTTCTTCACTTTTCATGGTGCTTTGCCTCACTGTGGAGCATTGGCCCTTATATTCTATTCTATCACAATCACCATAAAGACTCTAGAAACATTAACATGAACAGTGGCAGGGGGATTGCCTGAGGGAGTGAGGGGTGCTGGGTGGGGGGAGGCAAAGGGGTAAAGTCAGAACTGTAATAGCATCATCAATAAAATATAATAAAAAAAAGAAGTATATGTAAGCATGTGACATTCTTTACTCTATATTTTTGAGTACAAATTATTGGAACTGCTAAATACAAAACAGAATTATATTTAAAAAGGCCTGCATAATTTACATTCTGCAAATTCTTTTCAGAAAAATGTAAGTTAAATGAGCACCCTATTTATGTATATATTTTACATTAGAAAACTAATACAAATTAGTTTTCTCTTAAAGAAATGACCACTTAATTTTACAAAAGATTAAGAAATATTAATCATTTCCATTGAAATCAGAATCATCTAACATGATATCTAACATATTATATCTAACATATAATACGCTTGACTTGCTTAGTTAATTGAGCAAATCCTCAGTGTTTACCATTATCAGGTATGTTTCTAGGCACAGGAAATGCTGGGCTGGCAAACATAAGTAAAATTCTGCTTTCATTATTTTTGACATGCAAAAGAGTAAATGTGTGTATGTGTAGACAGATCATAAAATATAACCAATTAAATAATGAAGATAATTATGGATTGTGGTAAGTGCCATGTTTAAAAGAGGAGCTTTTGAGCTCCACTCCCAGTAGTCTTTCTAATCCAACTCACCCTCACTCTCTGCTCAATCTCTAAATAAATACTGAACAAATATTTTTTAAATTTGGTTTTAGAAGAGTCTCTAATTATCAGCCTTCACAGAGTTTCCACAGAGGCCTGTGCAATAATTGACAGAATCAAGAAGAGAACTCAAATTAATTCTACAGCTCATGTTCTTTCCATCTTGGTTCCAGTGAGACTGGGATCCCCCCTACCAGTGCAGACTGGGTTCTCACCTGATGACTCCCAACTTTTTTTTCATGTAAAAGATAGATTTGATAACTCTTACCACCAAGGGATGCCATGAGATTCTACATCTCACGGGGATGCCATGGAATTTCACTGTTATGCCCTCCTCGTAAAGAGGCCACACCTAGAACTCTAGAGTTACCTGAAGGGTCATATCACTAACTACACTGCATTGCTTATTTTACTGAAGAAGGAATATATTTGTACTCCTGTGAAATATAATATATACTCACTGTGAACCTAATATCACTAGTAAAGCCATAGATAAGATCATTGAAGAGTTTTCAAGCTGGAAATTACAAGTCTTCTCCGGAATAAAAATCTACTTCTTCCTAATAGAATATAACATCAAAATTAAGGTGTTATTGACCTGTTTTTCAGACTGGGAAGATCTGCAGGTAGGCAACTCTAAGCACAGAGTTTAAACCACATATTCTTTTTTAGCTTAAGGGCTCCAGAAAATAGAAGCCAAATTTGTCCCATTTAACTCTATCCCTAGACCAGGTTGGAAGTAAGTACTTAGTATCCTAGCCTCACAAGGTGGCATTTACAGTGTACTCATACAGCAGGTGGTTTAATTGGTCTTTTCTCATTTAGAAATGTTCACATTTATCTGCTTGTCTTGTTATCAATCTGTTTGAGAGGAAATTATACATGGTGACAGACAACAAATTACTTTGCCTTAGTGATAAATAACCAGAGGGAGAAGTGAAATTTTAACCTTAATTTAAGAGAAACACAATAAACTTCTGGGACAAAAATACTGCATAAGCTTAAGGCCTTACATTAATACATACCAAAGACCTTGTTTTACTGTCTTAATAAAACACTGTAGAAACAGCATTTATTAGTTAGAGTAGAGAAAAAAAGAATTGGTCATTTATGGGTATTATCCAAATGTGTAACTTTGACTGACCTTAGCTGATTGATGGATATTATCTATATTATTTCAGACACACATATTCATTGCATATTTATTTGATATAGCATAGTTTTTAAAAAGATTTTACTATGATTCTATTTGAGGAGAAAGATAGCACTGTGGTTAAGAGAGGTCTAGATCTGGCATCAAACCCATGTAGGTCAAGACTATGTGGTCCCATCATTTACTACATATGTAACTACCTATATAACTGGCTCCATCACTTACTGAGCAAATAACCTATGACCTTAAGTCTCTGTAAAATGTGAGTATAATAATGCTTTCTTGCAGGAGTTTGATGATGGTTAAGTCAATTAACATGCAGAGATCCAAAAGGTATTTAAAACAAGGATTCATTAAATCATAGCTATTATTATTACTAATGAAGTCTTGGTTCAGTAATGTCCGTGTTTAAGTTTTTAATCCCCCATCCATACAGTGGGACTAATGATACTTAACTTCACCAGATTCCAGAGGAAGTAAAATGAGTTGATGTTGGTAAAGTTCTTAATATACATAATTGATTATCAATTTACAGGGTGGGGCACAAGTAGGTTTACAGTTGTTCATATAGCAAGTAATATAATAATCAATAAATAATAATGCAAGAATAAACTATGTTTTGCGTACTCACAACTCTAAACCTACTTTTGCCCCACCCTGTATGTTAGCTGTTATTATTATTATTATTAGTAGTAGTAGTATTACTAATTTATGTTCTTTACAAGAGTAAATAAATTTTAGCTGAGAGACTAAATACATGAAAATGACTCTTCTTTTTAATCATGCTCTTTTAGCCACACTATATTAAGATTTCTATTTTTAGTGAGTGCCAGTTTTACTAAGTGACCTCTAGGAAGAGAAAATGGCTAGGATACATAGACATGAGGAGGAAGATTTTCTTTTTCATTTTTATGTTGAGACAGGGAAGGGTCCCATGGAGACTTCATAGTTGATTTGTTTCCTCTATTTAAGCTCTTTCTTTTGTTTTTGCTCTTGTGCTTTTGCCAGTGATAGGCATCATGTGGAAGGAACATTGTTTTTTGGATTCCTCTGTCTTTTTGACCTGTGTCTTGGTCTTTCCTACAGTCACTCTGGTTTTAATAAAATCTGTTTTCCTGCAATTCATTTTCTTTACATGTAGGATTCAGTAAAGAAAACTGATAGATGTGACTTCTCTATTTCTAAATAAAATTGTTGCGAAGCCACTTGCAATATTCCAAACTG